TCAGACCTGTCCCCTGAGCGATGTCCAACAGTAGGGATGCCTGCCATACCCCTTCTCCCTGTAACCCTCCCCCACAGAGCCACTCACCTCTGAGCAAGCCCAGCCAGGCTTTGCCTCAGCCTCCCAGCCCTTTACTGTAAATGCACTCACAGCCAGGAGGGGTGCCATATTAAATCAAGACTGATGGAAACCAGTAGCCATGATTATCCAGCTGAGATGCAGCATGGGGAGCTGGTGGCTGCCATCTCCAGGTGAGGGCTTCTGAAGCTAATTGCATGTGACTTTTATGAAGAAGATGATCACTCCCCTATGCCTGCTCTCTGGGGTGGCTTCTTCCTAGTGCCTCTCTGCCCAGTGCCCTATACTGCCACTAGCTGGGTCACCCACCCTATCTTCGTCTTTAATGGAATCCAGCCAGAGTTAAGCAGGGCCTTGACCTCAGTCCCCATAGCCTTCCTCCCCATCTCCTCAAAGAGCCAGAACAGTAGTAGCCTGCTCCCATCCTTCTCTCTCCTCTCCCCCAAACAGAATATATACAGACACGTGTTTTCGTTCTCTAGGTTCCTCCACTAGCTAGCCTTTCACAAGGCTGGACTCATGGCTTTTGCCTTAAAAAGTCATTCATTCATTCAACAAATTTTTTGATACAAACCCTGTGCTTAGCACTGGGAAAAGAGCATGAAGCAGTGGTGTTCTACCTAGTTTAATCCCGTTTCCTGTACATTTTTATCAAGAAGTCTGATTCATTTTCAGAGTTTTGCTGAATACCATTCAGGGTTCCAGGCTAGGGGAGAATCAGGGTGTGCTCAGAGGTTTAGGCTATACTTTGACCCTTTCCTGAACCGTCTAAAAAGCTCCTGAGAACTTTTCCCTCACCTTTACCCCCATAGAAGTCAAGGACCCTTTCCCCTTGTCCAAGAAAATAACAAGAATACTAAGACAACCTAAAATCATGTCACTGAAGGAAGACTTCGGGGACTGGAAAGGTTTACCCTGGAGAAGACTTAGGGAGACCACAATGGTTGTACCCAAATCAACAAAGTGGAGTGAAAGTCATATTAGGCTTTGCTGGGGCAAAAGAAAAAGGTATGTTTTATGTGGCCCTACAGACCAATGGATGAAAAGTAGCTAGAGGTAGAATTCTCTACCATGTAGGGAAAACTGACAGCCAGAGGTGAGCTGCCTCAGGCAGTAGAGGCGTCCCTAGGACCTGGTTAGTGTTGAGACTGTGTATAGGGGACTGAGGGTTCTTAGAGGAAGGACCCCTATGAGACTCTTCTGGGGCTGGCGGGGGGTACTCAAGCAGACTTGGCTTCTGGCTTCTGCTTGAACCAGAGCAACTCTTCTTGTTATCTGTGGAGTGCCACACAGAAGATTAAATTAATTAAAAGGGTTCCAGTACCCTCCCCCAAAAAAAGCACTGAGTTAAGCAGTCAGTTATTAGAATTCAGTGAAGAAGAGAGGAACTAACATTCAGCAAAGGCCTAATAAGGGCCAGGTACTGTGCGAGCCTCTTAAGTCACGCCAGCCACCATTTGTTCTACGTATATACACTTGGCTATGTGCCAGACTCTCCTAAGTACTTTATATACATATTATCACATTTAATCCTCCCTAAAATCCTACAAGAATTCTTCAGGATAGGTATGAGTATTATCCCGTGTTACAAATGAGGAAACTAAGATTCAGGGAGGCAGATTAAACATACACACACACACACACACACACACCCCATTACCTCGCTCTCAAGTGGATTAGGTAAGGTTTGAACTCAGGTCTGTCTGGATCAAAGCTGTACTCTTTCTGCCATACCACCTTGCTTCTCTGTGAGCCAAAAGAAGAGCCAGACTTCAGGTGGGGAATGACTGTAAGAATTAAATGAGCTACAGGCAGTCCTCGAATTATGAGCGAGTTCCGTTCCTAAGTCTGTCTTTTAATTCAATTTGTACATAAGTCAGAATAGTTAGGTATGGCTCATATCTAACATCAGTTAGTCAAATGTTTGTCTCAGTCTATAGTATATAGTGCACTTTTCTATGCATAAAAAAACATTAAAGAAACACTTCCAGATACACTAAAACATCTTTAACATATTAATACAGTACAGGCAGTTCCCAGGTTACAAATGTCTGACTTCAGCCAACTCGTACTTGATCTTTGTTATATAAATTTGCCCTCCTTTGAAACAGTTGAACCAACCCCTACTCACAACAAATTCTTTATCACAATCACCTTCATTTGCTGCACATGCAGCTTTTAAATCAGTGAAACGGCTTCAAGCAATTTCTTGCACTGAAGTAAGGCTAAATAAGAACTGCATGCACCTGTTCTGACTTACCTACTAATTTAACTTAAAGACTTAAAGACACAGGAACAGATCTCGTTTGTAACCTGGGGACTACCTGTAATAAGCAGAGCCCGTTTGTTATTATGAACCATTGTATATACCTCAAATTTTTAATATAATAGGCTTTATGGGGGTTGGTTCATAACGACGGGTTGTTTATAAGTCGGATGTTCGTAACCCTGGCACATGGCAGCTTTTCTACAAAGGTAGTTCTCTTCATTCAGTTGGCAACATATATTGACTTCTAGCCAGGGTCTGTGCTAGGTGCTGGAGCTATAGGCATGATGAAAACATGGTCTTTTATAACTAAGGACCTCATGGTTAAGTTAGGAGAGACAAATAGGCAGTTCAATAAGTGCACCAAAGGTCCCGGGGACCAGGGGCAGGCATGAAGCCTTACAAAAGGCTTCTTAGACAATATGACATTTAAGCTGAGATCAACAGGGCACCTGGAGGCAGGGGGAATACAGAAAACTTTTGTAATGGGGCAGCAATGTGAGCAAAGGCCCAGAAGCAGGAGTACTCTGAGACCTATCACTGAGGGAAAGTGAAGAGACCAACCCAACAAATCTTCAGAGGCCAGCTTCTGTCTCTTCAAGCTCCTTTCCTGGCCTATCCAACTGCAAACCAATCAGGCCACCAACCAGTGCTGTACCAGCTGGTATGTGTGTCTCCCAGCCCAGTGGACCAGAGTGCTGAGAGAGGCTGGGTGGCAGGGAGGAGGAGGAGGCAGATATATGGCTGGAGTCACCAGAGCCAGGTGATGTATGTGGCGCCTGAGGGAGCTGCACAGTGACACTCTGGATTCCAACTGGCAAGCGTCGCTCCGCTGGGATCGGCGCCGAATTATTGCTCCATATGAAACCCCAGAACTGATGGGAGCTTTCAGTTACAGACTGATGGCAACAGCCAAAATTGGATTGTTCGCTATTTATTTTTTTTAACTTCTGTCAAGGTCAGTACCGTAACAGGAAAACACTGCCCAAGCAGTAGGTATTTTTCATCCACTCTGCCCACAAGAGGAATCTGCAGCCACAACTTTTCTGACAGGGCCTTACCTTGGCAGCTGTCTTTCTAGAAAGATGTCAGTGTTACAGGGGTCTTAGAGAAAAGGAGCCTCCTGAAGACCTGGGTCTTTCCTTCCCACTCCAAGAGCTGCTTCCTCGCCCCATCCCCCAGCCACCATAAGTGCTTTATCCACAGGTCCCTGCTCTTATCGCTCCCTGCCCATTCTCTAGATAGTGCCGTAGCTCCCACCTAGTCCATTCTTTTGGCTTCTGCAAGCCACCCATCCCCTAGAAGCCTCCCCAGAAATGTTCCACTCTTTATCCTTTTCTTTGCACTCCTACACTACGCAGTATAGCTGTTAATTCTCTTCTTGTTTCTGTCATCAAATTCATTTTTGCAAGCATTCACCAGATGCCTCCACTGTGCCAGGACCCATGTTGGAAACAGTTGTGAGTAAAAGACAGTGCCTGCCCTCAAGGAGCAGATTCACAAATGCAACAAACTTGTTTTCAAGTAGTTTTTTTAGTGATAGGTACACTGCTAGTGATAGGCAGTCATGCTTTGGAATCATGAGGAAAATAGTTGATTCTGCCTGAGAAGTATTTACGTAGAGACCCTGCCTCCCCTGCCCAACAATTTGGGCTCCCTAAGGGCAAGATCTGGCTCTCCTATCTTCTCCCTCACAGTGTGAGCAAGCTCAGACCTCCACATTGTGTCTTTCCTGACATGGGCCAAGCCCAGGGCCAGATGCATGCCAGGCACTCGGCATCAACTAAAAGCTCCCAGGGACAAGCCACAGACCTCCTCCTTATCCCACCCCCACCCTTCCATCATGGCCATGCACAGGGCCAGGCACACAGCAGTTGCTGAATAATTGTTTGTTTAGCTGATGGTTTAGCTTAACTGGTGAAGAGTGTCTGCCTTGAGTATTGTGCTCTTTTAAGATCTATCTATATGGGATCATATTGACAACAGCAACTCAAAATATTAGACATGAAACTTAGGGGGCAATGAGTTTATGTTAATGAGGGAGAAACAACTCTCAGAAAAGGAAAGTGAGAATGGTTGCACGACTAGAAGGAGGTAATCAGTGTCACTGTAGAAATTGTTGAATTGGTGTATATTCTGCTGTACATAGTCTCAACAACGACAACAAAAATAAAATAGATTATTTAAAAGAAGAAAAAGAAAGGAACTTATATTTATTACTGTATGCCAGGGTGATACTAGGCACATTATATACATAATTATATTTAATCCCCAATTTACAGGTAAGAAAACTAAGGTGAAGTAACTTGCTCCAGGTCATACCTTGTGAGTGATAAAGCCGGGATTTGAACCCAGGTCTTCTGTCAGACTGAGAGCCAAGGGTTAGTCTACTAGCAGTACTTATCTTACTAGCAGTTAAGCAGGGTGAGGAGGAGCCCTGAGCAATAGCCACCTGAGGTGAAGAGATGATGTGAGGGCCAGGACAAGGGGAGGGTAGGAAGGACAGGGCCAGCTCCAGTGCTTATGAGCTAGAGCTGTGCAGCAGGAATCCCTGCAGATCCAGACGGGTGTTTTTTCCCCTGGTTTGGGGGATGGAATGAAACTAGGTTCCTATAGTGCCCAGAGCTTCTAAGCTACCTTCCTTCTCTCCCCACAGTACCAGGAGAAGCAGCGGAAGCGTGAGGCTGAGGAACGACGCCGCTTCCCTCTGGAGCAGCGGCTGAAAGAACACATCATTGGCCAGGAGAACGCCATCGCCACAGTGGGCGCCGGTGAGTATGTGCAACACTAGCCAGCACCACAAAGGGCAGGGCAGCACATGGCCTCGGCGTCTGCTGTAACAAGGTGTACATCCTGCTGCCACCACACTGTGGAAAGAGGTGGTTAATAATAGTAAAAGTTAACATTTGTGAAGAACTTTCTACATGCCAGGCATTGTTACGAGCTCTTTATACATGTTGTGTCATTTAGTCCTTACAGCAACTCTGTGAAGTCAGTACCATTAAGTCTCCATTTTACAGATGAGGAAACTGAGATATAGAGCAGTTAAATAATTTGCTCAAGGCTGCTTTCCTATGCTTAGAATTTAGCTCTTACCTTCATCTGGTCTACTACCCCTATCCCACACCCCACTTTTCAGATGTGAAAACAGACCCAGAGAGGGGTGGGTGTTTGCCTCTGATCACTAGCAAGGTAGCGGCTGAACTAGAACTAGAACTCATGTCTTCTGTCTCCCAGCCAGGACTCTTCAGTATAGTTTGTCAGCACCTGGCCCAGTTTTTAGGAAAAACTCAGGAGTGCCTTCTTCTCTTCCCTAGAAGTTTTTGTTTTCCCATACTCTGACCCCTGGGAGCCAGACTCTGGTGTAACCCCTAATCTAACAGTCCTCCTTCCTGTGCAGACCCCACTGGATTAATATATAAAACCAGGGTTCTGCTGAAGGCAGTGGCCTCGCTTTTGTTCTCTGACTCAGATGCATAACTCCCTGAGGGCAATTTCAGACAGGTGATTGGGAAGGAAGAGGAACCCCATGCCAGGCTTAGACAAGGGGGTATCCCTTAAGGCAGTGGTACTCAAAGCATAGTCCCCAGACCAGCAGCATCAGCATCTTCTGGGAACTTGTTAGAAATGCAGAATCTCAGGCCTCACCCCAGATCTATGGAATCAAAAGCTCTGGGGGTGGGGCCCATCCCTCCAGGTGATTCTGATGCTCCACTGAAGTTTAAAAACCGCTACCCTGAAGTGTCTCTGTCAGTCCTCTTTATATATTCTCACCTCTTTTCTCTAAGCACCTAGTGCCACCAGATGGTATGTCAGTGCCAAGGACAGTACCAGGTTCAGCTCACTGATACAAGGAGCCACCGGGCTGAAACTGTGGCGGCCCCTCTGGAACATTCTGGGGTGGCATTGTCAGCCCTAGGATACCAATTAGAAGAGTAACTGAAAAATGAAGGCAGCCGCCCTGTGACACACTGGGCCCAGCCTAGTCATCATCTTCACACACCAGGAGGACTCACGTAGGAGTTGTGAGCCCCTCATCAGGGACTGAGCCCATCAGCGGATAAAAGGAGCCCATAGACCAGAGCTACCTGACCAACTAGAGGTCAGAAGGCTGCCTGTAGACACATACACAGGAGCTGGGTGGAGCTTTTTTTTAGTGTACGAGGCCCCACTGCTCAGGCCAAACCACGTAAGGCTACCCTTTTGGGTCCACCTAGGAGGTGGCAACCCCTCACTCAGACAGCCATAGCCTGGTCTGAGATGAAGAGAGAGGAGACTCTGGGAGCCCCCTTGGGTTGGAGAGAGAGAAGGAGGAGCCCGTGGGAGAGACAGATTACCTGGGCAGAGGTCTAAGAAAGTGTCTCTGCTGGACTCTCATGTCTCCTTGGCCAGGACTGCACCTGCTGTTGCAGGTTCTTACACAGCCCTTTCCCAGCAGGCTGCATGCTCCTGTCTGACCTCCTATTTCTCACCAACTCCTCAAGCCCATAAAATGTGAAGCTCCACAGAAGTAGAGATTGGGGAGGGCATTGTGATGGAAAGAATTAGACCAACTTGGGTTCAAACAGAAGGTCTGCCACTTACCAGCTGTGCAACTTGAAGCTAGTCACTTAGTTTCTCTGAGCATCAGTTTCCTCACCTGTGTAACAGGGAGCCATGTCTGGGACCATCTGACTATAAAGCACATGCTCTCCAGTGTGTACCAGACAGCAATGAGTAAAACCTAGTCCCTGCCCTCAGGATGCTCACAGTCTGGGGTTGGGTATTGTGCTCTTTAGATCAAGTCCACAGTTATATTCTTCAACCTGGGACTGATCCTTAATTCCAGCCCCAGGCTTGCCGCTTCCCCTGGTTCTACACGGACCTCTGAATATACCACCCATCTTGTCTCTCTTTGCCAGTGGCCCAGAGCAAGAGTAGATGGTTCCATGCCCCACCTCCCAAGGGGCTGTCAGTGTGTCTGCCCTGAGTGCTTCCTTCTACCCAAAGCTTCCATTCTGTCACCTGAACTCTGCCTCAGGCTAGAAGTAAATGGCTTCCCAGGAAGGCCATACTTCTTGTCCTGTGGTATGCAGGTTGACTCTACTATGGCTCCAGTTGTCCTTGGAAAGACAGAGGCCATGGGGCCCTAGGCTGTGGGGTTGGTGTTTTATTGCCTCCATTTGTAAGGTGATAACTGTGTGCCCACCTTGCTAGAAGCCCTGCAGCTGGGGATTACACTGATAATGTTAGAGTCATGTCCAGTCTCTGTGACCAGTTCTCAGAGGCTTCTGGACCCAAGCATCAGTGAATAAGGCTGCGTGGTTGCTGTAACTACCAGCCCAGGAAAAGCATGAGGAGGCAAGCAGCACCCAATACCTCAAGACCTCAGAAGTGAAGCAGGTACAGGAAAGTGAGGCTGATCAAGAGGGTAGGCCAGGCCTCCCTGGGACCTCTAGGCTAGTGTCACATGTGAGCTGGCTGGATGGAGCCTGGCACCCCATGGGTACTATGAGGATGGGCAGCCAGAGAAGTGCCGCAGAATGAATTGATTTGATAAATGGCCATTTATTACCCTCACGAATTGGCTGAAACCAATTTCGGTCACATCAACCCCTGGTAAGTGCTGGGATATTGATTTGTGCAAAGTAATACAGTGAATTTATCAGTGTGATCCCCAGCTGCAGGGTTTCTCAGCAAGGCTGGCGCACAGTTACCGCCTTACAAATGGAGGAGATAAAGCACCAACCCCATAGCCCAGGCCGCATGGCCTCTCTAGTCTGCCTAGGGTCATGGAGCCAAAGCAGAGCCAACCTAAATATCACACACCAGAGCCTTGGCGTTGAAAATGAGGCAGTCCCGCCAGAATCAAGAGCTGCTATTGGTCCCAGGCAGTGAGGAGGATGCCTGCCCTGTCGAGCTGACCTCCTGGGAGCTCAGCAGCCCCTATGCCCCACCATCCTCCTCAGAAAGGCAGCTGGCTACCTATTCAGATCTAGAGTCCTCCCGCACCCCAAACCTGTCTCCTCCTGTGTTCATATCTCAGAAAAGCACACTACTACTCACTGGTCTCCCAAACAGAAATGTAGGCCTTCCCTTGGCCCCTTTTTCTTTCCTTCACCCCTTACAGCCCATCAAGTATTAAGTTCCACCTCTTAAATAGTTCTCAAACCTGGTTTCTCCCCTCTGTTTCTAATACCACTGCCCTAGCTCAGGCCATCAGTGTCCCCCATCTGAACCATAGCAGTGGCCTCCTCACTGGTCTCCTGCCTCTTTTCCTTCCCGTGATCAGTTCTTCTCACCAGCTGGAATGATCTTTGTAGAACACAAGTCTGAGTGTCACTCCCCTGTTTAAAACCTTTCAGTGGTCCTTGCTGCCCTCAACCTGGTGTACAAGGCCTGGCCCTGCTGCTGGCTCACCCTTGTGCACGACACACACCAGCAATACCAGGCTGCCTCTGCACATCCCTGCACACTGTGTTTATCTCCTGCTGCATTTGTTGACACTGTCCTCTCTGCTTGGAGTTCCTTTTCTTCTGGAATTCCCATACCCCACCACTGCCTATCGCCCCTACTCTGGCTGGTTTTTACTTAGCCTAACTCAGTTTGGGAGCGATAGACTGCAGACTCCTTGAGGGCATAGGTCGTGGCTTAATTGTTTTTGTTTTCCCAATTCCTGGCACTGCACCCTGCTCAAAGTAGATGCTTAGTTTGTTGAATTAACTAATTTGGTCTGGCCACTTGTCCATCTCTATGATGCACTCTGAGGAAAGAAGAGAAGCTGTACAGCCTCCCCTCTAGTAGCTCACAATCATACTGGGAATATGACTTTACGGAAATAGTTAATTATCATTACCATGCTGCTTGACCTTTGACCCCTTGAGTGGACAGGCCATCCCCAAGAAGCTCCAAGAAGCCTCCCCTGGGCAGCAGGTCAGCTGCACATACCTGGCAACTTCCCCAATGCTCCCACTGACCGGAGACCTGTCCTCAACACCCATTCCACCTGGTCCCAGTTGACTCTGAAGCTTATGCACTCCCTCGCGGAAGCTCTGCCACTTCAGCCTCCTTTCTGTGCTGGGTTCTGGCCTGAATTATGGAACCTCAGCATCAGCCATGTAGCACACAGTGTGCACACCATCCTACCTCATTCTTCACTTCCCTCTTTGACTAGTCCAAAACATGCTCTCCTTCCCAAGCCCTCCACCTTTTTTAGACCCTTCCTTTGAGTCCTGGTTTCTGATCTGAGAAATATATCCAGGTCATCCCTGAGTTGTAGAGTGGTGTGATTAACCTGCGAAGTTGCTTGTAGTTCCACCCACATGCCATGTCCTTCCAGACTTCCCTGCCTTTGCTACTGCTGCTCTTGTTGCCTGGACTGCTCGACTCTTCCACTTCACCTGCCAGAACACCTGCAACCTAGGATTTGTTCAGGAAGCCTGCCCTAGTCCTCCACCTGGATTCAGGACCCTTTCTCTGGGCTTCATATGAACACTCTTTGTCACTGCACTTACCACATAGTTAGCTCATATGTTTGTATGTCTTTCTACCTCCAAAGATCAGGAACTTCTCTAATTCAGCTGTTTTCCCAGGGTTGGGCATACAGATGTGTAAAACTTTGTTGCACTCAAGTGAATGAAGTCCGAACCCATGCTGACATTCTTTCTCAACACAGAGTCTCATCTCAGCCTTTTTCTGAAAGGATGTTGCTCTTGCCTCAGGTGACTTGACCCATAATACACATACACACAAACTCATGGAAGGGCTGAGCAAAATCTGTCTTTTGCATTTGCGATATAACTGCTCAGTAGCAATAGATTGCCACAGAAAGAATAATCCTTGCAAACTAAAAAAGAGCTGTTCTCCCATGATCCACCAAACCCGAGACACCGGTATCCACTCAGTCAGTAGGCCCTTATGGAGCACTTGCTGTGCCTATAAGCAATAGACAGGAAATGGCTAGTAGACGTTTGGGTGACTTCCAAACATTAGAGTCTCTCTGAAGGACTGGTTCCCCTAAGAGATGCCACAGGCATGAAACAAACATGTTCCAGGTTAGTTAAAAATTTGCCGACACTAGATCACTAGAAATTTTCAAGAAGAGTGAGTCAGCCTACCCAGGCTGCAGCTAGAGCCTTGAGGTGGACAGAAGCAAAGGCCTGGGATAGGAGGAAAAGACACCTCTTTCCTCTCTCCTGGTCTTTGCACACACTGGGTCTTTCTTCCTGGAATGTCCCATCATACCCCTGACTGCCTGGCAATCTCCTCCCTCATCCTGAGACCCAAGTGTCAGTCAGACACAAATGTCTCTTCCCGCACCTCTCCCAGTGCTCCCGTTCCTTTTAGAACTCACAGTTTTCAGAGCAGCATTTACCTCAAAGGCACAAACCTTGTTACAGGCCTCTTTGTAGGTTTTCCAACACCAGGCACAGCTGAGCAGATGCTTAAGGCTCCTTGGAGAGGAGGTTAAGGAAAGAGAGAAAGCCTTCTTCACCCAAGGGCAGTAGTAGCTACCTGGAGTGCTAAGAGATTTCTCGAATCCAGGCCTCACTGTTCTCTGTAAAATGGGAATTTAAGTCTCTGTTCTTTTCCCTTTGTGATTCCAGAAAGACCAAGAATTAATTCATTTTGTCAGCAAGCATTAAACCAGTGTTGGGCTAGTCTCAGGGGTTCCTCAGGAAATAGAATGCCCAGCACCTGCTCCCATGAAACACCAGTGAGACTGGAAGTACACCCTCCCTCCTGAATACAAGGGCAGAAGTAGATGAAACCCCTTACACTGCCCCTCTCTGGGCCTCAGCCTCCTCCTTTGTAAAATGGGGATAATGCCTACTTCTCACAATTATTATAAGGATGAGAGAGATATCTGTAAAATACCAAGCCTAATGGCTGCCATCACTACTGCTGCTGTGACTACCATTATTTTTACTCCTCTTATTCCACTCTGTGCAGCTTACAGATCACTTACATGTCCATTAACTCATTTAATCCTCATGTGGGGATGACTCAGGATGCATGACTGTTCCCATTTTATAGATGAAGAAACTGAGGCTCTGAAGGATTAAGTGTTTTAATCAAAGTCAATCAACCAGTAAGTGGCAGAGCCAGGACTCCAAACTAAACCCTGTAACTCCTACCCTCTCCACCATACCACTCTGCGGATGAGCACTTAACCAGAGAACACAGATTCAATGAGTTAAAGAAATGATGATAGGTGTGGTGTGGAGTTCATCAAAAAGAGTTGCTGCAGGTAGTTTTAAGATGGTCCAGCAGTGATAGACATGGCCAGGAGAAGACATTCTGGTAAGGGAAGGACACACGCAATGTGGGCACTGGCACTAACACAGCATTTGAGGAGGCACAGGAGCCTGGGTGTAGCTTGCAGCCAGCCAAGGAAGGGGGCTGATCTGCCTGCTCAGAGGGTGCTGAGAGCAGCGGTCAGCAGAGGGTTAAGGAACGGGGTCTCCTGGAGGCCATGTGTTGAAAGGCTGAGCGGGCCAGATTGAGAGACCACGGAGAAACTGTTTTCTGGGTGAGGCGAGGGTATGAGGAGGTGCTGTGGTAATGGAGAGCTGACTCCTTTCCCTAAACTCCTCAAGCACTAGTTCAGGCTCAGGAGTCAGCCAGAGCTGGGATTAAAGCCCAGTGTGTGTAACCTTGAGCAGGTTACCTAACTTCTTTGCACATATTTCCTCATTTATAAAATGGAAATCAAATTATCTGCCCTGCCTGCCTCACAGGGTCAGAATGAGGCTGAAATGAAATTATGTCTACAGAAGTTCTTCATAAACTGTAAAGGGCTAGCAGAGTAAGTTGCTACATTTGCTGGTCCACAGTAAGAGTACCACTGCCTACGACCATATCCCAAATGGGGCCATCCAGGTCTCTGTACCAGCCTCTACCCTGGCCTGAGCAGGAACCTCAGGGCTCCCAGCCTTGGTCCCCAGCCACCCTGCCGGCCACACATACTGGGACCGTCCTTCCCCCAGTCCCTGCTAGCTGCTTCCATTTTTCAGTCTGTCAGATTCCATCTGCTTGGCCGTTTTTCTCTTCAGATATTATTAGAAATATCCAGAGTTGTAATTGTTTAATGGTTGGCATTTCGCCTGTTTCATGGGGGGCCCAGATCAAGCCCACCCCAGACTCATGCCCTGGATCTGGCAGAATTGACCAGGGACAGCTGTGCAGTGGAGTCTGCCTGGCATTATAAAGAGCCCTATCCCAGGTGCATTATTAGAAGAGAAGGGGGAAAGATGGCCCCAGGCATAATCCAATTCCACATTCTCTGTGGCAATTTTTGTACTGCACAGCCCAGCAATGTGCAGCTCTCGGTAGTCTGGGAAGTTTCTCTGAAAGAGAAGCCAAGATCAGAACCTCAGGTACATGACACCCTGGGGGACCCCATTCCCCCAGGGCACCTTTCTAGCTGACAGCTGAGTACCTCTACCTCTCCAAACACCACATGAAGCCTGAGCCCAGTTTGCACCCAGCTTTTTCTCAACTTAAATTCTCAGTTCAGCCAACTTTTGGAAGAACGTGGCTCCTCTCAGGTGACCCCTTTCTCACCCCATCCCAGCACACATACACACACGTCCACATACACAGTGGGAATGTTCACCAAAGTCTAGCCTTTGTCATTTTATAACACTCCTATCTCCCCAGGTACCCTCACCCTTACCTTCGTGCCTCCATTGGTACACCAGGTACTTTCCCCTCAGCCAGGCTTTGACTTCTCCCTCTTCATCCCCAGCTTTTCCGGTGCCTTTGAGGCCTGTGGGTTCCCATTTAGCCAGCCCTTCCAGAGGACCTGGGCCAGATAGTTTAGAGAAGATCTGGATGCTAGCCCAGGGGAGAGGGTTGAGTTGAGTGTTTTCTCAAGCCCCTTTCAAGATTCTCAACTAGAAAGTGCCTTGGGTGCAGCACTAGAGATCAAGGTGAGACAGACCACAAACATAGGACTGAACTACTAAGGCAGGCATTCAAGGTCTGCATAATCTGATCCTACCCACCACTAGTGTTCATTCTTGTCTCTCCACCTCTGTCATGGTGGCCACTTGCCCAGCCTTCATGATCTGTCATCAGTCCCACTTCTTCCAGAAAGTCTTCCCTGACCTCTGCAGCCTAGCATTTAGGTATTAACACCTCAGGAAAGACAGACATCCCCAAGACTGTCAGCTCTTTCTCGATCAACTTGGTTTCTGTGGCCCATGTCCTATGACACAGATCCCTTTGCTAATCTCCCGCTGACACTCTGGGGACAAGACCAGACATGCTGCTCCATCTGCAGACTTATCTTGACGTTGTACAGTACTCTGTCCCCATGGTTTTGTTAATGCAACCCAAATTGATATTCAGTTTTTTTAGCAGCAATATGCAATAAAGAAGGTAGGTTAAGAGAGAGAAGTGACTCTACCACCTACTAGTTGTGTGACTTGGGCAAGTCCCTTTATCTCTTGGTTTCCTGTTCAGTATAATGGAGTTGAAAATAATACCACCCTCTCTGAGTGTTTGTGTGGGTCTTGGGTAAATGAGAAGTTGGCAGTTTTTCCATTTATGCTTAGCATGTAGCATGTTCAATACATGGTTCTTCTTATAGTTCTGCCTTGCTGCCACTCCTTTCTCTTATACTTGAGCAATACTTCTGAGCCTGATCTCTTCCCCTCTGTACTTTGGCACTTAATTTCCTCACCTGGAATGTACAGCTCTTGATTATATACTTCCTCTTGAAAAGGAGAAGTCAGGTCTCCCTCAAGCAGAGCTGAGTCCCTTAGGAACCTACTACAGACCTGTCCCAGTCCTCACACCCTACTGAAGGCCATGCTAACCACCAGAGATTCTAACCAAGTGGCTTACTCCTTCCATGCCCTGAGCCCACACTACCTTTGATTGGCTTCCAGAAAGTGATTTGGCTGTGTTTCCACTTCTTGATCCAGACAGTGGAGCAGGCCTTGGTCTCCTAAATGAGAGAGTCCAGAGCTCACACCCCAGGTGCCCAACAGTCTGCCATGGGCTTCTGCTGCTCCTATTTGCATAGGAGGCAGGCTTCTCTTATGATGAGTACATGGGTAACCAGCTGGGCTAAAGTTCCTCTCGAATTCTTCTTCGCCAGCCCCCCACCCCCTTCACCTCCATTCACCATCCACCCGCCTTTCAGTTTCCCTGGTAACGCTGAGTGCTCATCCTGGAAAACTTTATCCGAAATCTGCTCTGGGCAGCTTTCCAAATCCATGCTAACCTGATTAGGTGTCTCTAGGGGCCTTGCCAGCTAATCAGATTAGGCAGCACTAATGGTAGTGAGGACTTTGAGTGGGCGCAGAGCAGTAAAACATATTGTATACTTAGTGATAATTATCCTGCCTTTTGTGTCATTGATTTATCTGCCTCCCTCTCTGTCCCCCCGTTTTGTGTGTTTGGCCATAGCGATCCGGAGGAAGGAGAATGGCTGGTACGACGAAGAACACCCTCTGGTCTTCCTCTTCTTGGGATCATCTGGAATAGGTAACTGGGAGCAGATAGCCAGTGGGGAGGGAGAGCTGGGGGAGAGGCCAGCCCAAGCCTGACAGCCTCAGCTGCTACAGGCCACGGTCATACGACCCACCTCAACTCCCGCTCTGCATTTGGCCCCACAACAACTGCCTCCAAATTATAGAATCACCAAGAGGGCCTTCTGTATTTGACCATTGTCATAAACAGCTGGAATTATGCCCCTTCCTCTGGAAGCTGTGGTGCAAGGGACTGATTCACCTGGAGGACCAGGTCCTTCAGGGCCTGTTAGCCCTGGGTCAGCCACTCTGAATCCCTTTGGGAACAATGGAATCACCTGCACTGCCCAGCCACACCACCCATATACAGTACAGCTTGGGAGATCCCCCTTTAGGAAGCTAAGTAAAGCCCCTGCTGACCAGCACATTACCAGGTGCAGTAAAATGGGTTGGGTATTTTCCTAGCCAGTTGGGCTGGATCATCTGAGGCATTCTCATCCCCTCATTCTCTGCCCTCACAGACCCCATACCCCACCCCTGCCTCTCCGCTTCCCTCCAGACATCTTCACAGCCTAGCTTTCCTTGAGATACAGCATCCCAGAAGATTACACAGCCTGACCAGGATAACTTGGCTTCCTATACTAGACAGTGGCTTCCAAAGGCTTTAAGCATATCAAATGGCCCTTCAGAGCCACCACTTCAATATTGTCATTTCTTCTTTATTACAAACAAGGGCTGTGAAGCCAGTGAGGTGTTCTTTATCCTCTCTCAGCCTCTATTTGGCGTGTGGCTCCAGGATCTGGATGGCAGGGCCATGGCTGTCCCGAGAGATACTAGGCAGTGAGCCAGGAAGTCAGGGCACTCCTGGAAAAGGTGAGGTTTGTGCTGGGCTTCAAAGGACACATTGGCTCTGGATTATAAGAGTCTACCTCCCACTCCACAGTAAACCCAGATGTAGTGCAAACTTTGATTCTGGTCTCAGCTTCACCGTTAATCCCTTAGGTGACTTTGGGTTAGTTACTGACCCTCTCTGAGCCTCTGTGTTCCCATCCATAGAATATATTATTTCCTGTGTCCATGCATTTCTGATATTCTTTGATTCTAGAGATAGGCATCTGGTCCTAACCCACCTCCTGTCCCTTCTTTCTTCCTAGGAAAAACAGAGCTGGCCAAGCAGACAGCCAAATATATGCATAAAGATGCCAAAAAGGTAAGGCCTGGGGCCTAAGCCTGATCTGCAGGTCATGGATACCTCACCACTCCTGCTATCTGAAAAAAACCTGGGGTCCCTGAATCCAACAATAGCTAATCAAAAAGATGGGCCCTGGGCCAGGAAGGAGGCCTCAGCTCTGGCCCCAACTTGGCCACCAGTTGCTCAAAAAATTTGGACAAGTTACCCAACGTCATTGTGCCTCAATTGCTTCATCTATGAAATGGGAAGAATAATCCTTGCCCTGTCTGCCTCTTGAGGCGTTCACCCACATAACATTTTTCAAGCACCTACTCTGTGCCAGGTATCATATTATATGCCGATGATACAGCAGCAATTAAGATACTCTCCCTGTCCCGAGGAATGCAGTCTAGAGAGGGAGATAGCTTTAGAAACATAACATTATTGCCCAGTGCATTCAAGGCTGTGCTAGAGGGGTTTCTGGGGACTATAAGATGGAACAGGCAGGAATCAGAGGATGCCTTATTGCTTCTCTCTGTACTGCATGAACTTTTAAACATTTTTATGCCTTCTCCTGTAAGGTAGTTACAGTTCTTCCTTTCCCCGCCCATGGCTTGGAGCTCTGTATTCTCCATAGGAGGGGGCCAGCCCCATCCCTTTTGTTCAGACTCTGACTTTCCTATGCCTGCTCAGGTTGTCTTTCTAGGTTGACAGAAAATACTGTCATGCAGAGAGAAATGTCAGAGAGAGCAATCCTCAAAGAGAATGCAGAAATATTTCAGCTAAAGCCGGACATTCTTCTACCAGCCTTCCCAGTGTCGGGACTAAGGCACCAGTGGTCCCCCTGCCCACCATCAGAGGTTGCCTATGACCCAAGATGCCTTTGCCTGTTGACTGTGGAAAGCCTCCCCAGCTGAGGCAATGAGGAGTTTCTCAGGCTTCTGCCAGCCAGTGGCCCCAGCAGCACATTTCTTGGTACCTCCTGTCTCTCTTCTGGCCTAGCTGCCCCCTTGACATCCTCTCTGAGAGCCTGGCAGCCACAGAAAAAAGGTAGTTCAGGCTGTGGCCTTCTGAGCCAAACTTCATGGCCCCAGCATCACCTCCTTCTCCCTAGGAACTGGCCAAAAACTCCTGAGCCTCCCTGGCTCTGCCAGTTGTGGTGTTCTGCCTCAGCCAAGCCTAGAGCAAACCCACTTGATAGGCAGGCAGGCAGGAAGTTGCGCATGGCTTACTAATATGCTCCAACCTAAGTAGCATTTTTAAGGACAGTTTATCACGTTGGCAGCGATTGAAACAATTAGCACTCTGGAAAGGGCCATAAACTAGCAAGACTATTAGCGAAGATGCAGTTACAGGCAGGAACCACCTGATTAGGGATGAAGAATTCTGGGTGGTTTAATTTTAATACTGTCAGAAAGGTTAATATTTAATTACAAATTATAATCTCCTTATCCAAGCTGTCTTAATATGTCTTCATACACAGTGGAAGTAGAATAAAAGTATCTGCTGACTTGCTAGTGTAGAAAGGGGAGGGGATTTGTTAAAAGACTGACGATGCAAGTGATATTTTAGGTGGAACATCTAAAGGAAGGAAGATGTACACCAACGCAGGGTATCCTAAGACATAATGGTGGAGTACATGCTTCAGAAGGAAGTAACCGCATCACTCCTCGAAGGCAATGGAGTGGAGTGAACAAAGCTTTGGAGCCAGCCATTCCTTCGCTCAGGTTCCAGTTCTACTTCTACTGACCCTAGACAGGTTACTTTACCTCTTAAAGTCTCAGCTTTCTTGCCTCAAAGCCAAGCTATCAGATCCTGTGTCTAAGGTCGTCGTGAGCATCAAGTGAGATAACATGAATTGCAACTAGCTCAGGCTCTAGCACTCGATAAGTGCCTACTCCGTTGTCTCACATTTCTTCATCATTTTGTACTGTACACAGCAGTCCCCCATCTATTATCTTATTTGATCCTATAAGGAAGAATGCTAAATTAGACCCACTTTTCAGATAAGAAAACTAAGGCCCTACAGCATTAAGGGGCTTATCCAAGGTCACTTGTTAGGGGAAGAAATAAAATCAAAAGCCAGTCTCTTAATTCCTCTCTCAATACTATTGTTCTCAGCATCTCTAGGAGGCAGGATCATAAACTTGTCAATTTGTCCCCATTTCACATAGGGAGATGATAGGCATGAAAAGCCCAATACAACCATCCATGTGTTTTATTTTTAAATCACAGCTGGTGCTTATATAAAACTCCTACCTATACCAAAGGTCCCTAGGTGATGCAGTTTGTGCTCAACTGCTAACCTAAAGGTTGTCAGTTTGAACCCACCTAGCAGTGCTGTGGAAGAAAAGAGCTGGCGATCTGCTTCCATTAAGATTATAGCCAAGAAAACCCTATGGAACAGTTCTAATCTGTAACACATGGGGTCACCATGAGTCGGAATTGACTCAACCACAAATAACGACAACCTGTACCAGCCCTGTGGGCCAGCCCATTACAGAATTTGTGTTTAGCATAGACATTTTCTGGCCATGTAACAAGCGTATTTGAGACTTGCCTTCAAAATCCAAGAGAGTCCCTGGACTGTAAGATGCCTGGCCAGTGTACCTGATGCCTCCAGGGCCCAAAGAGTGGTGTATGGAAAGTGCCACGTGCAGGGACCAGTATAAAATAGGCTCTTCCCAAACAGGAGTTTCCTTGCATTTTCCTTCAAAGATGACTGACCAAATGAACAGAGTACTGGCCCAGGAGTCCAGTAACTTGAATTCTAGTTCTTGCTCCCTGATAGTTTTCTTATTTGTAAAGAGACACTAGGACCTCCAGACATTGCTGACTCACAAGGCATTATTTGTACATTTTTATAATTTCTTTATCAGATCTATGAGCTTATTTTTTTCTCTCATTAGGCCTCTGTACTATTTCCTCCAAACTGAGCAACTTTGTTAACTTCCATTAGTAGAGTTAATAGTCCTTGAGAAAGAACCTTAATGATGTTCTGTGCTCCCACCATGAAGTAGGGTGGTAGAGCCCAAAAGACTTGCCATCATAGTGACTGTATGAGATAGGGATTAAACGCAAGGATCTGAGTCCAGCTGCCTGGGTTCAAATCCCAACTCTACCCTATTAGGTGGAGTTGGCCAAAATATTTACACCAGTTTTCTCATCTATAAAATGAGTTCAATAATGATACCTATCATGAAAGTTAAATGAGATAATGGTATAAAATGCTAAACACCATTCTTGGCACATAGTAAGCAATCAGTGCATGTTGGATTTTACTGTTATTATTACTTTGTAGATAACCACAAGCTAAGATAATGTGAAAGCAAAATTATTCCAGCCAAGAAAACCAGGCCCAGAGACTTGTCCAAAATTACATAGCAAATCAGTAGATGAACTAGGATGAAAACCCAGGTTGCTTAATGTAAGTAAGCACTTGCGTCTACTCCCTGTATCCTGGCGCTTTGACTGGCATCTGGACACAAAGCTCAGAGCCCTTCAAATGAAGACTGCTGAGAGCCCGACTGATTGGCAAAGGAAAATATGAGGCAGTAGAGCATAATGGCAAAGAGCACAGACTTGGAGCCTGATTGCCAATCTTGTGTGACCTTGGGCAAGTTACTTTAACCTGTGACTCAGCTTTCTCATCTGTCAAGTGGGGATAATAAGAGTACTTACCTCACAGACTTGTACATGTTCTAAGCCCTTTATAGCTTGCTTAGAACATTGCCAAGCACAGAGTAAGCACCAGCGACTGTCAGCTATTATTAACCAGATAGCTATCTTGTGGTTTCCAGCTCTTTGCTCCCTCTGGGCAGCACTCCCAGCTTCCCCATGTCCATCCTTCCACCCTTCCTGAAGCCTGTGTTTCTCTTGGCTGAGTGCCTGGGGCCCTCTGGAAATGGTTACTGGCTCTGATAGCAGTGATCTCCCCTACTTGGCCTTAATAACTTCTCCAAGTCTTTTCCCAGTTCTTGTGCCAGGTTCTCTCCACAGACCCCTGGTGAGACAGACAGAGGAGCCAGGGGCCTTGAGTTACACGGGAAGAAACTACAGCTCACAAAGGGGACACAGTGTGCCCAAGGCCACACAGACAGTGCATGACTGGGACTGGAAGCTAAGCCCCCTGGCTTCCAGCCCAGGTTCTTTCCACCATCTTATACCTCAGGTGCAGAGTGACAAGACAGAGAAAGAACTAGAAGTGCATCACTAAGTGAATTTCTGACCGACGGCTAAGCTAGAAGATGGCCCTGAATTTCAGACACAACTGCTTCCCTCTCAGGGTCTTTGGTGCTCTGTCATCCCCAGCTCTCAGGAGAAGCAGCAGTCAGTGAATGCTATCTCTTATGTGGAAACATGGGCCATTTAGGAGAGAAGCAAAGGCCTGGGGAGACTGGGGAGCCCTGATCTGGGTAGAGAGACAGGCCACCTGTAAATGTCCTTGCAGCTCTTAAACTCCCTAAGTCAGTTAATTCTTCATGAGAAGGAGGGAATGCACTGCCAGTGTTACCTCTCCAGATCACACACTATAAGGTGTCCTCTTCCCCTGGGGCTAATCATGGTTGGGCCCCACCCCAGGTGGCTGTTCCCCTGAAAATTACCCCCATGCCCAAGGGGGAGAGAGAGAGGCTACAAGCTACTTAGAGATTTCCTTTTTAACAAAATGAAAAATGTAAAAAAATTAAAAGATGCATTAGTTTTTAAAAAAACAAAAAAGTAAATGAAAGGGCTTGTGCCCACACAGACTTGCAGAGTCAAGGGGCACTGTGGGGCTCTCTGGGCATTTGTTGCTCCCTCCATCTCATCATGCTTCATGCTGATTATGACTGACTTTGTCTGTCTCTGCCTGCCCTACTCAGTGGTGTGCTCCTCAAGGACAGAGGTAAAGATGTGTTAACTGTTGTAGCTGCAGTGCCCAGCACATACAGGATGCCCTCAGGAAACGTGGGAGGGAAAGAAGGAGGGAAGCTTGCCTGAAAGAAGAGGAATTCTGACCAGATTTAGAAGGGCAGGACATTACTTGGGTTTAGTAAGGTAGGGAGTAGGTGAATCATGTGAGGGTGGGGGGTGAGTAGACAGAGAAGGAGGCAAGGATCCAAAAAAAATATGTCATGAGAATGAGATAGAAGATCTAGGGTTGGTGGGGGCTGAAAACCTAGTGGGATATTTAAGATGCTGTCCTCCTTAACCCTTCCCTCTACCTTTCCGCCTCCAAGTGGACTCAGTGCCTGCTTGTTTCCACACAGGGCTTCATCAGGCTGGACATGTCTGAGTTCCAGGAGCGACATGAGGTGAGTCAGAGTCCTGTGAGAAACGCCTCAGTAAAGCATGGTTTGGAGGGCCTGTCAGCATGACTCTGCCTTGATCTTTTAATGTGACTTGTCATTTGAGCCTTTAAAAACCCAAAACTCGTTGCCATAGAGTTGATTCTGACTCATAGTGACCCTATAGGACAGTGTAGAACTGCCCCATAGGGTTTACAAGGAGCAGCTGGTGGACTCGAACTGCTGACCTTTGGGTTAGCAGCTGAGCTCTTAACTACTGCGCCACCAGGGCTCCATTTGGGCCTTTAGGCCTTGATAATTCCAGCAGTTTTGGGACTTGTCCTGTGGTGGCATATGTATGCATCAGGACCACAGATTGTTTTGCATGGAATTTGTTCTAAGGAATAAACAGATGATCTGCCTGCCCTCCCATCATGGCAAAATCCCTGCCAGACCAAGAGAGAGACAGCCAACTGTCCTTGTTGTGAAAGGCACTCTTAACAGTGTATAAAGCAATCATCCCATGCTCGCTCCATGTTGGAAACTAAAAGCCTAGAAAGGCCTTCCTAGCTTATTTCCTTCCTTCCACCAGGTGGCCAAGTTTATTGGGTCCCCACCAGGCTACATCGGCCATGAGGAAGGTGGCCAGCTGACCAAGAAGTTGAAGCAGTGTCCCAATGCCGTGGTGCTCTTTGATGAGGTGGACAAGGCCCATCCAGATGTGCTTACCATCATGCTGCAGCTGTTTGATGAGGTGAAAGTCAGCTTGTAGCTAGGGCCAGGATGAGGTGGGAGAACTCCTGGAAGCATGGGGAGCTGGGACCAGCAGGAACCAAGGGCTCAGAGGCCCATCTGATCTTCCTCAACTTACAATGCCCACATGTTTGCGTTCATTCATTCGGCAGATGTGGCTTAGCCCCCTCTCTGAACCAGGGCCTGGGCTGGGCACTCGAGAGAAGATCAGCACTGCCATAGAGTTGAACTTTCATGGCACCTGTGACAGAGGTGCCAGGAGAGAGAAAGAGACCTGAGTTGTTAGTTCCCGCTTTGCTCCTGTCTGGCTTTGTGGCCTTGGCAAATCACTGTCCATCTCTAGGCATCAGAGAACTCATGTGACAAACATGGAGGCCAGACCAGATAAGGTCCAAGGACCCTTCTGGCTCAAACAGCTCCTGATCCTTCCTGTGTGTCAAACGTTATCTCCACTAGTTCTTTAAAATGTTAATGTTGCTGCTGTTGCTAATGATGATGATGATAATGATGATGATGAGATGACACTCTGGCTCATGGAGCCCTTTTCTTCTGAGGAGCTCCCAGCTCTTCACAAACTGGGCAGTCCCCCTCACTGGAAGGGGTGAGTACTGTATGGGGAGAAGAAGTCCCTTTTATTCAGCACATAGCATGCACTAGGCTTGTGCTGAAGACTTTATAGACACTATCACTAGTCCTCACAATAGCCAGGCAAGGTAGAAATTATCTCATTTTTACAGATGAAGAAATTGAGGTTCAGAGAGGGTTATAAATGACTTGCCCAAGGCCACAGAGCTACGGTGTGGAGGAGCCAGGATTGAACTGCAGACATACCTGGTTCCAGAATCCTAGTTCTCCCCTTCTGTACCACTCCTTACCTTGTCCAGAGGAGGGAGCACTAATGACCATAGGAGAGAAGGCCCTTCAGCTTCTTCAGGAACCTTGCTCTGCCAAAAGGATGTGAGGAGCCAAGGGCTTAACTTTCCCACCCCTACACCAGTGCAGGGGCTATATTAGCCAGCACCTGTCCAGATAGAGTCCAGCCCACTTTTCTACTTAGCCCCCACCAGCCCTGAGAAAATGGGAAGGATTTCTGCTTCCCATGTCACAGATGCACAAGATGAGGTGCGGGGAGGGACTCCCCCGGACCAAACAGCACACCAGGTACGAAGCTAGGAGCACCCAGATCCATATCTCCCCACTAGCTGCCCACTGTCTTCCCTGCCTGGTCCAGCATCCTTTTATTGCTGTCTTTCTAGCTCTTCCGCTGTTCCCTGCCCCCTGGACCTCCTACCCAGGAATGAAAGGCCAATCTTTCAAAGGTCATATGTTCAGTTATTCACACATGTTCTCAGAGAACTCCTAACTCAGTTCCAGCCTCTTGATGGAATTTAGGTACGCAGCTATGGAGCAGACCCAAACCTGCCCTCTGGAAGCTCCCAGCCTAGTAGAAGGGTGGAAAGGGGGCATAATAGTAGCTGACATTTTTGTACTTTATGTGCCAGGTAGTATTCTAAGAAATTTACATGTATCAACTCATTTAATCCTCCCAACAGCTCTATGAAGACAGATATTACTGCTGCCATTTAAAGGATATGGAAACTGAGGCAAAGTGATATGCCCACAGTCACACAACTAGAAAGGGGGAATCTAGGATTTGAATCCAAGCAGTGCAGTTCTGGAGCCTGCACTCCTAACACTGTTTAAATAACTACCACGCAGCTAGGGCTGCGAGAGAGATTGATCTGCAGTGAAGCACTCAAAGGCAGTGTATTAAGGTTCTCCAGAGAAACAGAAGCTATATATATATAGAGAGAGATTGATAGATTGATTTTAAGGAATTGACTTATGCAATTGTGGAGGCTGGCAAGTCCAAAATCTGTAGGTCAGGCGATAGGCTGGAAATTCAGGCAGGATTTCTATGTTAGAGTCTTGAGGCAGAATTCCTTCTCTGGGAAACCTCAGTTTTTCCTCTTGAAGCCTTCAGTTGATTGGATGAGGCCCACCACATTATGGATGTAGAGTAATCTCCTTTACTGAGTAAACTGATTATAAATGTTAATCACGTCAGTCACATTAACGAATACCTGCACAGCAACATCTGGACTAGTGTTAGACCAAGCAACTGGGCACCAAAGCCTAGCCAAGTGGACACATAAAATTAGCCATCACAGGAAAGGACAGCCCAGCTCAGAGAGGGTGGGCACGAAAGCTGATATCCCTGGAGAGGTGCCTCTGATGGCATCATTGGCCCAGAAAGAGGGAAAGCAACCACTAGCTAAAATACAACCAGCCCCACCTGGAAGAAGCTTACAGCCTCCACGTGTAAGCCCTGTCCACCCCTTTCTTGTTGCTCTCACTCCACAGACTGCCTTTTAAGGAGTTGATAATGATTCCTTCCTGCAGCCCCAACCAGCCTACTACAGTTTCTGGTGTTTATCCTTTTGATGCTGCTGACCAAAGCTGCCATCCAAGTTTGTTGGTGGTGGTAGTGGTTGCCATCAAGTAGGCTTCAACTCATGGCAACCCCATGTACAACAGAATGAAACATTGCCAAGTCCTGTACCATCTTTTCACAGTCATTGGTATGCTCAAATCCATTGTTGTGGCAACTGTGTATTTTGAGTGCCTTCCAGCCTGGAGGGCTCATCTTCCAGCACTATATCAGACAGTGTTCTGTTGTGATCCATAGAATTTTCAGTAGCTGATTTTTGAAAGTTGATCACCAGGCCTTTCTTCCTAGTCTGTCCTAGTCTAGAAGCTCCACGGAAAACTGTACCATGCCAGTATTTGAAATACTGGTGGCACAGCTTCCAGCATCATAGCAGCATGCAAGCCCACTACAGTGCGACAAACTAACAGAAGGATGGTGGCACCTAGTTTACTTAGCCATATTTATGCATATGCACTCTTTGAGGACAGAGACCTTGTCTTACTCACTCTAACAATTCCCAGAGCCCACAAACTCAGGGGAAATGCTGTATGAATTAACTGAATTCAACAATACTTACACATCTTCAAAGGAAGAATAAGCATACGCCAAGTGAACAGAGTGGAGAAGGACTGTCAGTAGAAAGCTAATACACAGAAACGCAGGGGCATGAAACAGCCTGGTGCATTCAGGGAACTACAGCTGTTCAGTATTGCTCAACTGCAAAGGAGAAGTGAGAATGGAGTGGTGGAGATGAGGCAGATAAGGTAGAGAAAACCAAAAAAACCCATTGCCATCAAGTTGATTGTGACTCATAGCGGCCCTATAGGACAGAGTAGAACTGCCCCATAGGGTTTCCAAGGAGCAGCTGGTGGATTCGAACTGCCAACCTTTTGGTTAGCGGCCGGCCGTAGCTCGCGTGGCTCTTAACTACTGTACCACCAGGGCTCCAAGGTAGAGAGGAGCCAGTTAGAACACCAGACAAAGGAGTATGGATTTACCCAGGGGACAATGAGGAGCCATTGAAAGACTTTAAGCAATAAAGAAACATAGATTTGCATTGTATGAAGATCCTATAGGCAGAGGTGTACAGAATGGACTGGAGGAGAGAAGGGGACCAGCAAGGAGGCTATTGAATAGTCCAAGCTTAGGATCTTAGGATGGGGAGGCTAGTTCTAAAGCAAGGGTGGTGGGGATGGAGAGAACGATTAGAAGGTTGACTGTACAGGGCTGAGTGATTAAATGTAGGGAGAGGGGGCACCAGAGATGGCCAGTGGCTCGATTTCTAGCCTGGATAATGGACCGTCTGCTGCTGTCATCAGGTGAGGCAGGGAAACAGGAGGATGAGCAGCAGATTGGCGAGGAAGGTGATAAGCTGAGTTTTGGAATTGTTGAAAATGAGATGCCTGTGGGACAGTCAGATGGAGACGTCCAAGACGTCATTCTATTTAGGAGAAAGGCCTGGACTGGAAATAGAGGTTCAGGAGTCACTCTGCACAGAGAGGGTTACAGAAGTCACTGGAATGGATGTGATTGCTTACCTGGGGAGAGTACACAGAGTCTGAGGAGAAGAGGAGAGGGCTAAGAAGGAGCCTTGAACCTACCAGGAAAGAGTCAAAGAGGGAATCGCTAGAGAGGTATGAGGACAACCAAGAGAATGTGGTTCATTTGTTTATTCTTGAGGCACTTTGTGGGGCACGGGGACACAGACAAAGCAGACGCAGTCCCTGCCTCAGTGCTCAGGAATTAGCAAGGGAGACAGGCACCTAAAAAGCAGTTCACGTTATTGGGTAAATGCCATGCTAGGGATAAGTAGCAAGTGCAGGGAGTTGTGAGGGCACCTAATCCAGTCTAGGGGCATGAGGAAAGACTCCCTAAAGACGGAATGCCTAAGGATTAGTAGGAGATCTGGGGCAAATTAGCAGGGGACAGAAGCCCACCATCCCTGCCACAGCTCACTTCCCCCAAGCCTGGGCCTAGAAGAGCAGGAACCGGAATGCTCTCACTGAAAAGCCAAGCAGGACTAATACTGGCCATCTCCCAGGTGACCTCCGAGTCTACAGCACAGGGCCGGAATCCTGGAAAGAGACTGCCCCCTCCCCCAGAAGAGGAGCCCACCCTCCTCCCTTCAAGGATTCACATGAGACCATGGGAAAGTAGCCCCCATTACCTTGGGTGAGCATCCCAAGCCCCACCTAGGACGTGTGAGGTGGGGACAGTGACAGCTCCCTCTTCGGGACATATGTTTATTGCCAAGGAAACTGTGGAGAAGGAGACATGAACACTGTAAAAGTCACCCTCGGGGTCACTCATACACTGCACCTGCTCCCCTCACTCAACCTGGGACCCATCCTCAGGCCCGGTTATGAGCAGAGCTTTGATCTCTTGGAATGAAATTGTCACTGGGTTATTGCTCTGGCCAGGACAGCAGTGTGTGAACTCAGTCTTCAGGGGTAAGCACCACTGAGGCAAGTGTGGAAGACACATAGTATCAAATGCACGTGCTCAGGCACATCACAAATGCACGCAGACTGGCCCCAAAGCTAGGATTGCCCTCAATGGGTTCTGTTTTGGTTTAACTCATAAGCAGGGGGTGCAAGTGGAAAGCTGAAGGTGAAAGCTCAAGTACATCCACTTGCACCCTTGCCTTCCTATTTCCCCACCCCAAGCAGGGACGAGAAAGTGACCAGCCCCAGGACCTGGATTACCAGGCCCCTTTGTAATAGACCTCTTTGAAACTCACACTTTCTCAGAGACCAGTGCTAAGGGCCAGTGTAAAGCCAGGTTGCAGAGCACCTGGGACTATGCCTAGCATACAATAGATGCTCAGTTACTGTGCATTCCTTCCTCTGTTGCCTCTAAGAAGCAGACTGGGTTTGCCATTACATTGGCTTGAGAAGCAAAGGCTGACCTTGAATCATGCCCACACCAACAGGGGAAGGAAAGGCTTAATGAGGATTGGTTCCTGACTAAAGCTGGGAAAGGGTTCGGCATCCCTGGCATCACGCAGGAGCCAACAGGCTGAAGTCAGTGACCAGTAAGCAAGGTACTCACAGGCTTAATTGTGCTTACTTACTAATCTGTAGTGCACAATTTCACATGGGTTTCACCACATCTTTGAAATTGTACACTATAGATTAGTAAATAAACATAAGTAAGCCCATTCGTACTTTGCTTATTGGGTAATCTGTCCCTGGCAGTGACCTACCCCCAGAGCCATATTCTCTGGCTTGCAGAAGCTGTGCTTTGTCTGCAACCCAGAGGAACCCAGGCAGGTCTCCTCCCTAGCACCTGTCCCAGTTGCTTCTCTCTATGAGAATCAAAGAATGCAAACAATTTGGCAGAATTCTGAGAAAAAAATATATTTAGAGAAAGAATTTGCATGAAGCATCATTTACCCAGCACTGTCTGGGTGTGAGAGCTCTGTAGCCTAGTGCAGAAGGAGGGGCATGGGATCTGGAGTCAGTAGTTCAAGTCTCAGCTCTTCTGTTTTCTAGCTCTGAGACCTTGAACAAGTTACTTAACCTCTCTGAGCCCTGTAGGGATCATAATTACATGTACCTCTAAGGGTGGTTGTAAGTCTTCAGGCATTCGGCCAGCAGGTATTGAATACTTACTGTGCCAGATTCTAGTGCTCGGTGATGAACAAGACCAAGCCTCTGCCCTCGTGGAGCTACATTGTAGTGGACGGAGTGACCTAGTTCATGGAAAGCACTAAACAGAGCACCTATAAATGAAAGTGAAAGTGCCCTATAAATGTTCACTGTTGTTACTACATCGGTTTGTCTCAGTGAGTCTCCAATGTTGCTTTTGTCATAAATGACTACAAAGTGCTGTTGTACAGTGATAACCTTGAGGTTTGCTGAGTGGGTGGAGCTCTGTGCCCCTGAACTGCTATACTTTTATAATTCCTCTGTCTCTTTTCTCTGCTCCTTTTCTCTTTTCCTGGTGTGTCTACCTCCCATATACATACTTCTTTGTCACTTCTTGTTGCTGGTTGCCGTCAAGTCAGCTCCAACTCATGGCAACCTTATGTATAACAGAACTAAACGTTGCCCAGTCCTGTGCCATCTTCATGATCGTCAGTATGTTTGAGTCCATTGTTGTGGCTATTGTGTCAGTCCATCTCAGTCCATCTCACTGAGGGTTTCCCTCGTTTTTGCTGGCCCTCTGCTTTACCAAACGTGATGTCCTTTCTAGGGATGGATCTTTCGCGACCGTGTGTCCAAAGTAAGCAAGTTGAAGTCTTGCTGTATCACTTCTAGAAAGAGCTGAAGATTCCAGGGAAACTTCCCAAGTTGGTTAAAAGAGGGGCGTTATTTTCTACCCTTCTCTGTTAGGCCAGAGGATAGCTCCAAAGATTGTAGGAATTATATCTGTTTCAATTCATTCTGTTCATTTTGATACAACAAATACATATTAAGTATCTGCTACGGTAATAATAGTTCTGAGCTATGTGCATTGCATGGTTTAGTAAGGATCTTTCACCAATAGGGCCACATCTAGTCCTCCCAATAACCCTGTTATATACCCTCGTCTGAACCCCTACAGTGACCTGGGCTTCCTGACCTGGGTTTCCCTTTATCATAACACTTAGGAGGTTGAATTGTCATTACTATTCACTGGGTCTGACTGTCTGTTGCAGAGGGAGGGGCATGGGATCTGGAGTCAGGCAGCTCAAGTCTCAGCTCTTCTATTTTCTAGCTCTGAGACCTTGAACAAGTTACTTAACCTCTCTGAGCCTCAGTTTCTTTATAAGGATCATAATTACACCTACTTGTAAGGGTGGTTGTGAGTCTTCAGGCATTTGGCCAGCAGGTATTAAATACTTACTCTGTGCCAGATTCTAGGGCACTTCTCTATACTGGGAGAATGTTGAAGGCTCAGTGAATCCCCAGTAACCTAACACAGAGCCAGACCCAGAGTGGGCCTTCAAGAAAGTGATTAGCTGGATGGATAAACAGACTGACTCCTGAGTGCCAGGGATAATTTGGTGGCCTGAGAGATGCCAAACAGTAGGTGCAGTCTCACCTAGAGGCACTCTCAGTAGGGAGAGCAATTAAACCCAAGGCAGCGTGCACTGCAGCAAGGTGTGAAAACAGTGCTCAGAGAACCCAGGGGAGGGAGCAGCCAACTGCTGGTTGTGGGGGAGGCACACGGGGTTCTGGGGAGGCCTTCTGGAGGAGGTGCATACTGAGAGTGCTAAAATCTGCCCAGGCTTGTAGCTTTGACTGAATAGTCACTATTCCTTCCCAGGGCCGGCTGACAGATGGAAAAGGGAAAACCATTGACTGTAAGGATGCCATCTTCATCATGACCTCCAATGTGGCCAGCGATGAGATTGCACAGCATGCCCTGCAGCTGAGGCAGGAAGCTTTGGAGTTGAGCCATAACCGTATCGCCGAGAACCTTGGTATGGCACATGGCCTGAGCTGCCTGGGCAAGTGATCAAGCCACTAGCACATCTCCTGGGGGTCCTGGGCCTAGGTGAGGGTCCTGGTAGACAGGTTTGTCCTTAGCTGATCCTGACCAGATACCAGGCACCATACCAGATGGTGAAGGGAGAAAGACAAGAGAAAACAGTGCCTCCACTTCCTTAAGAAAGCCCCAAGTCTGTTGGATATCAGGAGAGCTCCAGACAGACGGATGGACAGCGCCACCCCAGGGTGGGAGGCCAGGAAAAAGCCAAGGTCTTGGAGACTGAAGAGATGCACACTTATCAGATAGCAATGCTTTGGTGCAGTGAGGGGACAGCAGATCAGAAACAGTATGGAGTTAGACACACAGCCTGTTTCTCCCAGGTAACATTCCTGTATATGTGTGCCCTGGAGAGTGCTGAAAAGGAATGTATCGGGCAAGAGGCTGTGTCTGTCACCTTTCTATTTAGATTGAACCCTACAGTCCCCTCCCTCCAAGTCAGAACTTAAGTCTTGATCCTGGCACTTTCCCTCTCCTCTCCCCTCCCTTATACAACCCCCACCCTAAGGAATCCCAGGCTTTGTAGCACATGAGAACTAAAAGGCCTCAGAAAGTACCCAGTCTAATCCTTTCATTGTTCAGGTGAGGAGACCAGGCCTTGACCAGGATCATAGAGTCGGGCAGGTCCAGGGCTCTTTTCATGGTTAGGACCAAGGGGTAGGCACAGCCCTCAAAACTTCCTAGGTGTGGGCAGTAGGCAGGTTATGATTCTGTGCCACAGGGGATGTCCAGATTAGTGACAAGATTACCATCTCAAAGAACTTCAAGGAGAATGTGATTCGCCCGATCCTAAAGGTAAGAGGTCTTTCTTCGTCCATACTGCTGGAGCTGTGGAGGGAGGCGGTATTGCCATTCTAAAGATACGGAAGCCCTACTGTCCGCCCCATTGAGGCCCAATATTTCCCCTCATCCCTTCTGGGTCACCGAGCTCACCCTACCCCTAACCTGGCCCTGCAGGCTCACTTCCGAAGGGATGAGTTTCTGGGACGGATCAATGAGATCGTCTACTTCCTTCCCTTCTGCCACTCGGAGCTCATCCAACTAGTCAACAAGGAACTGAACTTCTGGGCCAAGAGAGTAAGAGTAGGGTCTGCCTATGGGCGGGGTGAGGACAGCTGCCCAGTGGAAATCAGGGAACACTGGGCTGGGAGCATGCACACATGCATGAACACACTTACACAAGCGGGAGCACAGTGGTGTGGGGCAGTGGCCCTGGGGCTCACAGTCCCTCACAGGCTCTGGCCTCAGGCCAGAGTGGTGAGAGATGGAAAGCACTGGGCCACATGTAGGCATGCTATCTGACCTGTCTCAGGCCAAGCAGAGACACAACATCACGCTGCTCTGGGACCGCGAGGTGGCAGACGTGTTGGTCGACGGCTACAATGTGCACTATGGTGCCCGCTCCATCAAGCATGAGGTTAGTCATAACTCTTAGAGCACAGAAGCCTAAGAGACGTGAGTTGCCTCCACACCTCCCTCCCTGGAGCCCCCAGACCCATCCCCTGGGCTCCCAGCCTGACTCCCTCTAGTTTGACTGCTTGAATTGTCCACACCCAAAATAGATGTCCCTTTAGAACCAAAAACACAGGAATATTAAGTAAAACCTTTGTCCTAGAGAGTGACCAAGTATGAACCCCTACCAGAAGTAGGGGTTTGGGGTGGGAACATCAGAAACTGACATCATTGAGTCTTCAGCACAACCCTGCAAGCTAGGTGTTGTTAGCCCCACTTTGCAGATGAGAAAACTGAGGCTCAGAGAAATTTTCAAACTTGCCCCAGGGAGTTCAGCAGTAAGCAATAGTGCCTGGCCTCAAGCTTAGGCCACAGACTGCCCAGGCCAAGGCAGTGACGACCACTTCAACCACCACCTGCAGGTAGAGCGCCGTGTGGTGAACCAGCTGGCGGCAGCCTACGAGCAGGACCTGCTGCCAGGTGGCTGTACTCTGCGCATTACTGTGGAGGACTCAGACAAGCAGCTTTTCAAGGGCCCCGAACTGCCCTCACCCCAGGCTGAGAAGCGTCCACCCAAGCTACGGCTGGAGATCATCGATAAGGACAGCAAGACCCACAAACTGGACATCCGAGCACCATTACACCCCGAGAAGGTGTGCTACACACTCTAGCATCTACCTACCTGGCTATACGTGCCCTCAACATCCAATAAAGGCCCCTTGGCTGTGGCATGGCAACTGACGTATCTTCCCTTCATGCCTCTTCCTCCTCTCTACCCAGCCTAAGGACTGCTTGCCTCCTCACAACCCCTTGAAGACCACTGCTCAGCCCCAAAGTCTTGAGCAGGAATCTTGACCTACTCTGGCCCCTTTGTTCTGGGCCTATAATCTGCTAACCAGTCTCCAGGAGAGGAGCTGCCCCTACACTCCCTTCAAGGCAGGGAGGGGACCCCTCACCTCTGTTCTTCAGCATGATCCCATGACCCAAGGTCTCTGAAACTTTCTTATGCACCCAGGAAGCTCAGAAGTATAGCAGCTAAGAACAGATCTGACTGGAAGAAGACAGGAACCAGGCTGTGACCTGCCTACCCTCTGCTGGCCTTCATGCAGCTCAGTCCTCAGAATGTCTCCATGGCGAGTGGGGAAGGAGTATAGAGGCCCAGGCACAGATGGCCCTTCCCCATGCCTGAAAATTCCAAGGAAAAGGGGTCCATTGCACTCTTGCCTCTTTCCACTGCCCTATCACACCTACTATCCCTTCCCACCCCATGTCCTGGGATTAGGCCAGACCATGTTTCTTCAGCCTTAGAACTAGGCCAGTATAGGACACCTCTAGGACAGGAGCCTGACTGGTTCATTACCTCCCCCCCGCCAACTCTGGGACTGGACAACAGTCCCAAACAAGCAAGCAAGCTCAGCTCGACAGTGTCCTCCTTCAGGAGACTAACAACATAGACACTGGGAAGCTGTAGGGGGAGAAGACCATGGGATCAGGCTCTGCCCAGGTGGCCATGGAGTCTGCTCCAGTCCTGTCTATAATGCTGTCCCAGCCTGGTTAGCCTGGAATAAACATCTCCCCCATGCACTCTTTGTGTTAGTCACTAAGGAGAAGGTCTGGACACCATCCCCCAAGGGCATTCCACAGACCAGCCGTGTTTCATCCCAAGTCTAGCAAGGCACAGCAAGGCCTGGTGCATCCTCAGGCACCCTCTGCAGCAGCCACTGCTGATGACCACCCGTCATCCAAGGCCTTCTTGGAACTCTCCTTTAGTTGTTAACTAATCTCTTTCAATAGGCAGAAAATGGGGGCAGGAATCAAATTCCCTTGGGTGATGAGAGTATGTCATAACAACATGGTGGGTATGAGGCAGTCATGCCAGGGCGTGGGCTCCAGCAGTTGTTCCAGCAGTCACTTTCTAGCCCCTCAAGGATCTGTGTCTGCTGATCTGTTTCATTTTTTCGTGTTTTTTTTTTTAATTGTGGTAAATATATATGTAACAAAACATTTCAGCATTTTTTACATGTACAATTCAGTAACATTAATCATGTTCATCACGTTGTTCATCCCATCACCTGTTTCTAGATTTTTTCCATCACCTTTAAAGAAGCTCAGTGTCCCGTAAGCAACGTCTCCCCCTTTTTTTAAACTTTTGTTTTGAAATAATTTTATACTTAGAGAATGTTGCAAAAATAGTAGAGTATTCCCATATACCCTTCACCCAGCTTCCCTTAATGTTAACATCTCACATAGCCATAGTATCATAGTATTGATCCAGACAGACCTTATTCAGATTTTGCCACCTTCCCACTGATGTCCTTTTTCTGGTCCAGGATCCAGTCCAGGATTCCACATTACATTTTGTTGTCATGCTTCCTACATCTCTTTCATTTTGTAAGAGTTCCCTCACTCTTCCTGTCTTTCATGACCTTGACACTTTTGAAGGTCATGAATTTGAGAATGGTACTTTTGAAGAGTCCAGGCTAGTTGTGTCCCGCAGTTTGGGTTTATCTAATGATTTCACGTGATTAGGCTGAGGCTATGCATTTTTGGCAAGACTATCATAGAGGTGATTTGCCTTTCTCAGTGCCTTATATAGGAGATAATGTTAACTTTGATCATATGGCTGAGGTGGTATGTGCCAGGTTTCTGTGCTATAAAGTTATTAATTTGCCCTTTGAAAGCAGTGAGAATCTTGTGGGAAGATACTTTGAAATTATGCAACTCTTTTATGCTTAGAATTTCATTCACTGATTTTAGCATCCATCAGTGGTTCCTGCTCACAGTAAGTATTAATATTGTATCTGCCTAATGATGATTTTCTGTTTCCCTTATTCCTTCTGTATTTAATAATTGATAGTCTAAGGAGTCCTGGCAGTGCAGTGATTAAGTGCTTGGCTGCTAACCAAAAGGTTGGTGGTTCGAATCCACCCAGTAGCTCCACAGGAGAAAGACCTGGTTACCTGCTTGTGTAAAGATTACAGCCTCGGAAACCCTATGGGGCAGTTCTACTCTATCACATTGGGTCACTGTGAGTCAGAATTGACTCAACAGAACCTAATAACAACAGTTTAAGAAAGAGCTGTCCCTTTCAGCCATTTATTTATTCAGTAATTTATCCATATCAATGTGGACTCATGGATATTTGTTTTATCCTATAGGTTATAATCCAATACTAACATAGTTTACTTTGCTACTCAGATTGTCCCAGGTTTGGCCATTGAGAACTCTTTCAGCATTGCTCCCATCATCTTTTGAGCACTTCTTTACTTTCTGCATCACAAGATGTTCCATGCTCACCTTGTATTTCCATTTCTCCAAGAAGCCCCTGGTTTATTTTATTCAAGATTAGTACTTAGAAACTAAGATCTGGGTACTAGGTATACTCATTGCTACTAGGGTTATTGCTTCTAGGCCCTCTCAGCAGACAGAACTAGGAAATATATATATGTATGTTAACACACGCATGCACACACATCTGAATTTGTTATTGTACCTATCTATCTATATATTTATTAAAAACCATAAGTACATATTGGTACTTCAAGTTCTAATCCAACACCAGAGGATTGTCTGGGTTCATGGTAGTCATTTTTACGACTTTACTATTCTTTCTCTACTTCTTTTGCTCCTGCTGTTTCTTCTCCTTTATCTCTGTTTGGTGTTGAGACCTCCCTTAGAGCCTCTAATTCAGTCAGTCAGTCACCATCCTATATGGTACATTCCTATTGGACAAAGTTCTTACTGCCTGGCTGCCAGGCCCTTGGTTCAGTTAACTGTGGCCAGAAGCAGCAGGCATATAACTCCAAACCAGATAACTTTTATATAGGAAAACCCAGTGGCCACCTTCCTGAGAAGAGAGGGTAGGGGACAGGGTAGACCCTCAGATTCTGAGGAACTTAAGTATCAGTTCTTCCTAGGATTCTTTGCCAGACCTCCTAGCTGATGTTGGACCCATGTTATACTTCCATAGCACCATAGGCAATACTCAACTCAGTTGCATTACTTGTACCATGTCTGTCTTCATAACTAGAATGGAAGCTCCAAGAGGGCAGATACCCAACTGTTGAGCTCACTGTTCTAGTCATAGAACCTGGCACAGTGCCAGCACTTGATGGATGCTTGAGAAATACTTGGATTGATGGGTAGGTGGGCTCTGCAGCAAGCACAGATCTTCACAGTGGGCCTTGGGACAGAGCAGTATCATTCATTCGCTCAGCACATGTTTATTTGGCATGTGCTTGTAGCCAGGCAGCAAGGCTACCTCCAGGACTGGATCCTTGAGCAATTGGGGCAAGATGAGACCCAGATACCTTATTGAGGATCCTGGAATATATGAGGTTGGACTTGGAAATGTAAGTGTAATGCCTTTATTGCTCAAAAAGAAAAACTCAGAGGTGTGCAGTGATTGTATAGATTGTGATGGTAACATTTAAACCATTAGAAAATGGATCCAATAAAGATAAAAGCTGGAGTTAATGAAAGAGAAAACAAACCAAAAGGGATAAATAGAAAGATGATTGTTTGAAAGCACCAATAGATAAAATATCATGAACATGATAAAGGGAAAAGGAGCAAAAAGACAAGATTAGGAATGAGAAATTAGACATAACCATATATATAGAAGAATTGGAAATAATTTTAAGAGAACACTATGGCAACCAATTTGAAAACAGCAAATTTTCTAGGGAACACTGACTCACGAAATAGAAAGTTTGCATAGCCAAATAGAAAGTTTGATTACTAAAGAGGAAATTGGAAAGATGATTAAAAATGTATCATTTTAAAAGGCTGCTCTTTTATTTAAACTTTTTATTGAAATATATAAGGAAAAGTACGTAAATCACAGTTTAATGCATTACCACAAAGTGAACACACTCCTGTAGCCACCACCACTCCCAAGAAATAGATGAGTTCTAACTTTTAACGATTTTATGAACTATTTCATACCATGGAAAAAAATGGAAAGCTGCCCAATTGATTTTTAAAAGCCAATGTAAGATTAATACTCAAACCTGATAAAGTGCCAAAAAGAATGCCATCGCCTAGTCTTATTTATCACTATCCAAATAAAATCAGGTTGAACTGTACACCAAGATCACATAAAATTTATTTCAGCAATACAAGGCACAGTATCAGGAAATCTGTTAGTATAATCCACTACATCAAGAGCTTAAAAGTTATTTAAATGTCTGTAGATTTCATAATAGTATCAACGCCAGTTTTCTTGTTTTGATAATTATACTGTGATTAAGAATATTCTTGCTTTTAGAAAACATACATTGAAGTGTTTAGAGTTTAAAGGTAAAGGCAATTTGCAAATGTTTCAGCAAATTTTAAACTCTATATATACACACAGAAGGTGATAAAACAAAAGTAAAGTGTTAACATTTGGAGAATTTGAATGAAGGGTACATAGGAATTCTTTGGATTATTTTTGCAACTTTTTTGTAAGTTCAAAATTATTTCAAAGTAAACTTTTTTTTTTTTTAAGGGAGAAAAAACATTATTACATCAACATATCCTGAAAGGGCATTTGATAAAATTTTGCAGCTTAAGTACAGTTTGATAAAATTTATGCTCTAAGTAAAACAAGAAAAAAACTTTGAATGTGATAGACCATCAAAAACCAGTAGCAAACATCATTTTTTATTGTAAACCTAAAGTCCGAAATAAGATGGGATACGTACTAACACCTTTATTATTCAACATTGCTTTGAAGGTCCAGGTGAAAGCATTTAGGCAAGAAAACTAAATAATCAATATAAATACTGGAAAATAATAAATTACCTTGTTTTGCTGATATATTACTGATATCTAACAAATCTAAGAGGCTATTGTAAAAACCTATTAGCATTAATAAAAAAATGTGGCAAGTGACTAAATAAAAGATAAATGTATAAAAATCAATAGTTTTTCTCTTTTCTAGCAATAATCAAAACGGAAAAGTATTCCATTCATAATTGCAACAAATATGTGTATATATTTGCTTATATATGCATAAAATACCTCTGGAAAGGGAAGGGAATTGGGTGATTGGGGGACAGCAATGGAAGGCATACTATATTTCTTTTTATACTTTTATTAAATTTTGAGCCATATTGTTGCTTGTTCAAAACATATTAAAATACCAATTTTTTTATTATTATTGTGCTTATTTAAGTGAAGGTTTATAATTCAAGTTAGTCTCTCATACAAAAATGTGTACATATATGGTTATGTGACCCTTGTTGCTCTCCCTATACTGTGATAGCACACTCCTCCTTTCCACCCCGGATTTCCCATGTCCATTCAACCAGCTCCTGACCCTCTGCCTTCTCATTCCTCCTCCGGACAGGAGCTGCCCATTTAGTCTCATGTATCTACTTGAGCTAAGAAGCACATTCTTCACAAGTGTCACGGATTGAATTATGTCCCCCCAAAAATGTGTGTATCAATTTGGCTGGGCCACGATTCCTGGTATTGTGTGATTTTCCTATATGTTGTAAATCCTGCCGTTGTGATGTTAATGAGGGAGGATGGGTGGCAGTTGTGTTAGTAAGGCAGGACTCAGTCTGCAAGATTGGATTGTGTCCTGAGGCAATCTCTTGACATATAAAAGACAGAAGTGAGCAGAGAGACAGGGGGCCCTCATACCACCAAGAAAGCAGTGCCAGGAGCAGAGCGCGTCCTTTGGACCCAAGGTTCCTGTGCAGAGAAGCTCCTAGGCTGGGGGAACATGGATGAGAAGGCCGACAGAGAAAGCCTTCCCCTGGAGCTGACACCTTGAATTTGGACTTTTAGCCTACTTGACTGTGAAGAAATAAATTTCTCTTTGTTAAAGCCATCCACTTGTGGTATTTCTGTTGTAGCAGCGCTAGATGACTAAGACAGCGAATATCATTTTATGTCCCATGGTCCAGTCTAATCATTGTCTGAGGATTTGGCTTCAGAAATGGTTTTAGTTTTGGGCTAACAGAGAGTCCAGGGGCCACGTCTCCCGGGGTCCCTCCAGTCTCAGTCAAACTATTAAGTCTGGTCTTTTTACTAGAATTTGAGTTCTGCACCCCCACTTTTCCCCTGCTCCATCAGGGACTCTCTTGTGTTCCCTGTCAGGGCAGTCACTGGTGGTAGCCGAGCACCGTCTAGTTCTTCTGGTCTCAGGCTGATGAAGTCTCTGGTTTATGTGGCCCCTTCTGTCTCTTGTAAAATGCCAATTCTTAATATGTAATCTAATGCAGACCTAGTTAAACTCAACAGCATTTTTAATTGGATAAAATTAGCCGAATGTCACATTCAGTACTATGTTCAGAGGTGATGCCATATAGATAGAGCTACTGTTTTCTGGTTCTAGGCTCTCATTACTACTACTGTCACAGTTCCATTAGCAAAGTAGAGAATAAGTAAACTTCATTACCATCAGCACTCATGCTAAATACAATTATGAGAGAGAAAAGAGAAGTGCAGAGGCTGGATATGAGTGTGGAGAAGAGGAGAAAGTGGTGGAAAATGAAGCTAGAGAGGCAAGTTTCCTGATTTCAAAGTGCCTTGAATGCCATACTTAAGGGAATGGAATGACCAGGTTTGTGTTTCTAAAAGACCCTCTGAGTGCAGTGTGAGAAGTGGTTGGAGATAACTTCTGATCAATATACAACAGACCATAGTTCCAGGCAAACTCCCTTCCCACCTCAAAAACAGAAATGTTGGGTAATATGTAGCAACAACAAAAATTAACTCACAACTAGGCTTGAAACTAAGTGGGAAATCCTACCTGCCTGAAATGAATAGGAACCCAAAAGTCAGAGGCTGAGTGGGAGTGGAGATCAAGGAGTTCATAGAAACTTGGGACCAGGCTATAGGCCTAATGACTAGGGACTAGGGCTTCAACAATGAGAATGACTTGAGATTCTCAGAAAACTGTTTACTTGTGGAAAGAAGACTAGAAAACACTGCTCATTGACCTGGAAATCAGCAAGAAAGTCTACAGCTGCCCAAGAATATGAGTAGAAAGTGCACCTGTGGAGAAACTCATACCTTTGCTGGTTGTGAGAGTGGTCCAAACTCACAATACCCAAAAGTTGCTAGGATGTCAAGTTGAAATATAAACAAAAAGCTGATCCTGGGGCAGTGAAACCTATAGGATCCCATAGAAGCAAACACAAAACTTAATAGTCTGCAAAGTAGGTAGTAAATAAATTTACTATCAACATACACCTTAAATAAATTATGGATTAAGGATATTCCCATAATCCAGTTTTCATAAGGAAAAAACAAGTCCTGCTAAAAATGAGCTTACAGGAAAAACTTACACAAAAAAGGAAATTACCGTAAACAAAAGTCAGCAGATGCAAAAAATGAGAGAATTTACACTCCCAAGAATTTAAAATAGGTATGTGCAAAATGTTGAAAGAAATAAAAGTCTGAGATAGGACATCAAAAGCATGAGCATCAAAAGAAAAAAATTAATTGGACTTCATCAAAATTTAAAACTTTGTGCTGCAAAAGACACCATCAAGAAAATGAGAAGACACCACTCCTAGGAATATAGCCTAGAGAAATAAGAGTCGTCACT